CGAAATACCAGCGATGATTCTCTAGTATGAAATGTATTTTGTGTTTCCGGCCGAAAATCAAAGCAGGCATGCTCTGATAATCCGTCGAGACAACACCGGATTTCGCGATGCATGACAAAACGATGGTACGGAACAACAAAGCAGCTCGGTTGTGAGCTGCTCCGTCTACTTGCCAGTGGGAGGCGCGGCCATCCAGCCATTGCGCTCTTGCCAGTGGGAGGCGCGGCCATCCAGCCATTGTGCTCTTGCCAGTGGGAGACGCGGCCATCCAGCCATCGTGTTCACACCGGTGGGAGACACGGACATCAAGGCTTTGTGCTCTTGCCCACACGCATCTCTGCACTTCGTACTGAACTATGCTTGTCCGGACTGAATGCCATTGCCAGTTACAAGGCGTGCATCAGTGATGGAGTAGACATAATCTGTGCCAAAATAGGCTCTGCACGCTGCTACATGTGTGACAACTCACAAATAAGGTCAAATTTATAATGGCACGAAGCCAAATCACAACGACGGAAATAGCTGGATATGGCCTTGAAGCCGGCTTCAAGGACCATAAAACTAATCCGGTCATAAAACCACTGCCACAACCAGAGCTGGCTGCCAAATTTCGTAGGCCAGAACAGCAGGAACTTGTACTGTCAAACTTGTAGCAGAAGTATCTCTTCATTAGGATAGACATCTTAGGGCCTCACCGTGACGGTGGATTTAGAAAATCCGGTGTGACGCACTTGGCCGAAACGCTTACGGTTCGGCTCTCAGCTTTCTTCGGGGCATCTCTCGGCGGCGGCTGGGATTGGACTGCTGACAGACGAACAATGTCGAACGCCGCAACTCTGCAGCTTATGAACATCATCCGCAGATACCATGACGTCACGGATGGTACCCGGGCCGGTGATAGGTACTTGGGCTGTGTCAGCAGTCACGCAAGCATCCCTTTCTCTTCTAAGCGTTGCTTTCGAGGCCTCCCTAACTCGACCCTGCATGCCGGCCTGTCTCTTCCGAGTGGGCCACGCCCACGTTCGCCGACACCACCAAGGCCGTACAAGGCCGACACTCCGGTGGAATATCGCCCCGTCGACGGAGATAGAGTATCACAGCTCGACCGCACCAGACGACAAAGCCGCTGTCGTGTCGTCGCCGTCTCCCGACCCGTGCCGTCCTCTGGGGGCCATCCTCCACGCCCCGCCTCCCGTACCCGCCCGGCGCCTCTCTCTTCTAGTCCCGTGCCGCCGTGCTGCCCCGTGCCGTCCTCTAGGAGCCATCCTCCGCGCCCCGTCTCCCGTACCTGCCCGGCGCTATTCTCCAGAGTGTCTTCAAGTCCCGCCCGCCGCGCCGCTCGGCGCCGTCCTATAGGGACCGTCCTCCACATACCGCCCGCTGTCCGGACCGGCGCCGTCCTACAGGGACCGTCCTTCACATACCGCCCGCTGTCCGGACCGGCGCCGTCCCACAGGGACCGTCCTTCACATACCGCCCGCTGTCCGGACCGGCGCCGTCCCACAGGGACCGTCCTTCACATACCGCCCGCTGTCCTGACCGGCGCCGTCCTCTGGCGGCGGGCCTCCGTCGGCCACGACGCGGCCGATGCCGTCGCCGGCACGGCAACGATGTCGTAAATCGCCTGTGGGGCGGAGCGGCGCGGCCGGCCGGCCGGCGCGGCCGGTGATTTGTGCTGGGGCCGGCTGGGGCGAGCGCGCCCGATCAGCCGCCTACCCGAGCGCATCGACACTCACTGGGAGCTCGCAGCGCTGGCGTGCGGCTGGGAGCGCCGCCGCGCGCCGGGAGACGGCAGCGCTTATTTTCGAGTGCCAGCGGATTGTGAGTTGGCTGCAGACGGCGGTTTGTGATGGGGCAGGCTCGGCTGTTGAAGCTCAGAGGCCGCTACCTTCGGTTCTTTCGGGGACATGGTGTTTGATATGGAAACACTAGAGAGAAAGGAATCTGTGACCATGTCTAGAGAGCTTGGGTATTGATACACCACGCCTGGTTCTCAGCTGATTCAATCGGTACCGGCATCGTCGGTTTAGAAGTGGAGCTTTGTAGCGATGAACAGCGATGAACCCAGGCGCACGCTTTAAGAAGTGCAGAGTGGTGTGCATGCCATTTTGGTGGAGGTCATTATGCTTGTGACTTGTGGGATATGGCAAGCGACTATTTTGGGGTGACTACGACGCATGTAACTGGAGGTGAGAAAAAACGATATGTGTACACAGAATCCAGATAAGACAAAAGCTTGGCTGGCTCTAGCATAACAAGTTTGTATTGTTATGCTGGCGTTTTGCGCATATTGTCACCAGGTATCATGCTTGAGCTTGGGCGTTGACGAAGTTACGGGACTCTTCTACCTCCCTGTTAACGCTACCATTGGGGTATATGCGTCTTTGGTTTCACGTTACTACACGCTCCCACGGTGGCTATCGAACGCGGGCGTTGACAGCTGGACCGAACTTTTCTATCACCTTGTCAACGTCGCCGTTGTTGATAGTATCAATATCCCTTATCGTCGTTTGCGTTGTTGTGGGGTTGATTGGTATCAGATATGAAATGCATGACAGCTGGAGTGAGCAGCAGCAAAACCAGCGGATTGTGTTCAGTTGCATCAAAATTGCCAGCAAATTTCGCTCTGGAGGTGTTTTTGTTCCGTCTTTATTCAGTTCTTTGTAATTACACATTCGCGGAACCAGGATTTGATCCCGTAACATCAAAACGCAGCCATGAAGGGACGAATGGCAGATGAAAAAAACAAAACACTTCCTAAGCGGAATTTATTGGCAATGTTGATCGTTTGTATCTGAGCTAGGTATCGTGCATTTCAGATCTGTTGCCAGATTACATCCCTGTCTAATAATGTGGAAAGCGTGAAAAGGGTTCATGCTTCAAGATGCCACATCCTTCGACCGTGGCTTAATCAGGACGTGATTTGGGGTGGAAAAGCAACGTGAGGCATTTGAAAATGCCTGTTTGTCTTCCGAAAACGATCGGTTATTTTCTCAAGTCAAACAATCGTCTCGGTGTTTGCTTTTCGCTACCTTCAAATCGTTATCCAGCACCAAACGCGGGGTGCTGCTACTGAGCTCTCTTTCACGATTTTCGACAATTCCATTTCCATGTCAAAACGCTGAATATTCTCCCCATTTGCTGACTACACCGATGGGCGATGGCCTGCATCTTTGGTTGCTCATACAGCAACCAAACTGCGCAAGTTCGTTCACAGGGGGCGCTCAGTTAATCATTTGCAAACTTATTAGCCCCTAGCCTGCGGGGGTCTCAGAGCCTCTCTGCATAAGGCTTTCTGGGGAAAACCTTTGGTGACTTTGAGCACAGTGAGGTAATTGTGGTTAACATCATATAAGGTAGCATAATTTTGTTTGCACATTTTGCTAACACTTCAAGTTTCTGACCTTTTTATTTTATTTTTACTTGCACATTTTCCCACGTCTCATATATATATATATATATATATATATATATATATATATATATATATATATATATTTGATACGTGAGATGGTGGAGCTGTAACTGTATCTTTAGGGAATATATCTTTGCTCATTAGTGAGCTCAAAACACAACTCGTTAGGTAACATAAGTTATCAACTCATTTTATGTTATTTTTATATCTTACCGTCTTATTTTGTTTTCTTACTTTATTTTATGTCTTCGCCAACTGCACAGTGGCTGTTCTGCCGGTTGGGTGTTCCGGCTAATTAACAACTAACGAGAAAGGAGGTATGAAGCTTGGGCACAAGTACATCTCTTCGCGTCGCACAATTTTCGCGTTTTATTAGACGGTAACGGATGACCAATGCCTGGAGTCGTGGAATTTCCAAACATGCCCCGTTGCGGTGCCAGATGAATCACGTTCACATCCGTTTTTTCTCAAAATGTCTCGCGTGCACTTTCAAGGCAACGTTATGTGGATTATCATCCTAATGGTGAAGCGAAATATTAAGGTTGCATACTAGTGAGCGTGCAAGTCTTCACAAAACATGCGTAATACCACGCAGGCATTGGAGGGGACTTCCAGCGCGCACAATATGTCCGCTTTTCTATCCTTAGCTGTGGTGTGGGGGGCGAGAGGTAAGAAAAGTCAGTAAATATAGGACTGGTCTTTGGACAGGCTTCATTACCACATAGATTTGGCCAGGTTTCTCGGACATTCCCAGAGCGAGCAGGAATTATTCATGAAATTCACGCTGACCCAATTGCATAAAGATGCTCCAGGATTTGGTCTAGCCGGAATGCATCGAGCTAGGAAATGCCGTCCCGCGGAAAGTGTTTCAGGTAGTCCGTATATGTTCATCCTGTTTTAATCGCGTGGATTATCACAGATAATGAATTCCTCCCGGGCACCTGCAGGCGAACTGCAGGTAGCAATGCAGCACAGATAGTGCAGTGTGCCCCTGAAAAGCTCTGGCAATGCCCAGTTCGAGGTCCAGCAATGAAACATTTAAATCATTAACGTTAATTTTAGCGACGACTCAAAAGATCACTAGCAATTGCCATGTGAGCTAAATCTGAGCTGAAACAGTCCGAGACGACAAAATGACTGGATCTTCTCGTCACGCTCAGTGAGCCTTTAAAAACTGAACGGAACTGACAAATACCTCCGTAACGAATAGGATAAAACGGGACCGGTGGGACGGATCATTGATCTTCTTTATCACGCTGTGAGGAATTGTAATGACTCGTGAAGGAATCGATAAAGGACGATGATGGGCTATCTCACTTACGAAGAAAATCTCATGAATACACTCACATTTGCATGCAAATACGCGCGATGTACAACACGTCATTATACGGCGTGCCCCGCCATGGGTTCTGTGTGTTGGCCGAAGGATCGGAAAAAAGGCTGAGCGTTTTGACAAAAATAGCGTGAGCGAACCTCAACACAACTACCTTCTCCTACGATCACCAACCACGGCTGGTTCCATTGTTTGGTCATCATCACCGGCGATCTTGGACATTGGTCGCTCACGCGCCCTCTCTGCCGGCAGTCGAGGCAGCATGGCGGGTCTGCTCAGCTCACCGCCCGCGCCACCCTCCAACGCCTCAGTGAATGCGTCAGCCGCCAAGGCCGCCTACTTGCTGGCCGTGCACGAGGTTTCGCACGGCTACGCCGTCGCCTACGTCTGCATCGTGCTGGTCTGCTACACGATCGGCATGTCGGTGCTGCTTACGCGGCACTTTCGCTGGGCGGGCCAGCAGCCGCGGCTGGCCGTGCTCTACCACGCCATCGTCAGCAGGACGGCCTCAATCCGCCAGCGACGCGGCGACCAACTGGCGCACACAGCGCCCCAGGTGGTTGTCCACGAACCTCAAGTGTCGTCGGAGCCGCCGAGAGGCGCTAGTGTGGCTGCGCAGCTGATCGCGCTGGCGCCCGTGCCGCCGCCGTCGCCGTTGGCCGAGCCAAGGAGGACCGCTGCCGTCCCGACCTTTCAGGAGACGGACTTCTGAGCTGGGCGAGGCGCCGGACCAGTCAGTTATGTAGAGGTCACGGGCACGCACCCACGGCCGACAGGCCCAGCACCGAGCCGACGTCGGGGTGCTTGCAGCAGTGAATCGACCAGCCGGGTCTTCTACGGTCCTGGCAGGTCGGCTGGTGAACGCCGCCGGAGAGTGCGGTAAAGACGTGAGTGGAGTTTTCATCGACGACTCAGATGAGTCGTAAACAATCATTTGAGCGTCTGGGTATTCCCGACAACCTCCAGCCAAGCTGGAGGCGTCGTATGGTTTATTTGTGGTGCTGCAGAAGCGTTTTTGTCGTGTATCGCAGCATTATTTGAGCTGGACCGCGGCTCCAGGGACGCTTGTCTGACGGGAGTGCTACGTCCCGTGCCCACTGTTGGCTGTGACGCGCCGTTCTGATTTGGTGCGAAAGGAGCCCGACATTTTTAATCGTGTCGCGTGATTTGATCAGCATTCTTGTGACTCACGAAGGTCGACGACCTGATGTGTCCAAACTGGCGTCCAACTGTTTAGGTCTTACTGGTACGCTTTGTTTGGATTCAAAGGAGGCACGGTGGAAGATGGCTATCCGGTGAAGGAATGCACATCAATCCGCCATGGGGCCTTCGAATGCAAACAGGCTCTGTGTTGAATGAACAGGCTCTGTGTTGAATGAACAGTCTATTATGAGCTGGGTATGATTGCTGATGCTACATTTTCCACAAACATAAAAACAGCGGGTCAAGACTGCATTACAGTTTGGTATTTGTTTGAAACTTCCTACGTTAACGAATCAGACCATTTCTTTAACGGCGGATACGGGTTGCGTAGCGCGCTGTTTTCCTGTCTCAAGTGCTTGGTTTTCTCACACCCGTCAGTTTTTAATTGCTGTGTAGTATTGGGAAGCATGCGTACCAATGACAAGTGACCACTGTCGCACATGTGCTGGAGTTTGCGTATTACATGAAAGGGAAATGTTGTGCTCTCCCATGCGGCCACGATGTGAACAGTGCATGTTGTACCAATTTATATGTGTACGCATTTTGTCGAAAACGATCGTTGTCACGCCGGGACTTGTTTGGCCGGGACTTGTCACGCCGGGACTTGTTTGGCCGGGACTTGTCACGCCGGGACTTGTTTGGCCGGGACTTGTCACGCCGGGACTTGTCGAAGTCGCCGTCTTCTGCCGGCCAGTGGCCTGTTGGTGGAGCTTTGACATGCATCTTAGATCAACTACATCTACTCTTGTGAAGCGAGAATCGGCATCAGGAACTGGCTGCTGTTCCGTGCGGCGTGCTATTTTGCAGTTAAAGAACAGTCTGGTCCGTTTAACTGTTCAGAACAGAACAGCCACAGAACTGTCGTATTGCCTAGTAGTCGAGAAATCTAAATACATACAGTCAGGTGTCCGATTATCAGTGCATATTCTGCAACAGAGTCGAGGGCTTAACACTCAGCCTACTTCTTAACGTGTCATTTTTGCAAACGGAGAATGTACAGCAACAGCATCAAAGTCTAACAGAGCTGAATCCTTGAGGTATATCATGACGCTTTGTATGCGCGGCGCAGCTTGGAATGAGTGACACATATGAGCTGGCATTTGGGTAGTGCATGGGTTTGCATCCGTATGAGCAACACACACGGGCTTGGAATGAGTCATGCGCAGATCATGCTTACTGCGACAACGGAACGCACCACCTGCGCGCAGCGGCTCCAGGTCATCAACTTATTGTGGTCTTACAGTTGGCTCGAAAAGGCTGTGTGCGCGTCAGGACACTTCCTTCTCGGTGTCATACATTACCGGTATGCGCCCATCTCGGGTCACTGCATAATATCAACGAATTTAAATGTGGCTCATTGGGCTACGCATATATATATATATATATATATATATATATATATATATATATATATATATATAACCCACACGTCCGAAAACTGCTCCCAGGACTTTTGAAAACCTCCGGAAAGTGTATCAGCGCTAGCCGAACCGGTGTTACATTTTGGGAGGACGATTGCAAAATAAGCTAATATGTGCCAAATTACCGGGTGGAAAATAGCTGTAGGCGACAGGTCACACAATGAAGGTCACCGGGAGCGGGATCGCTATCGCTAAAAGTCGTATCGCAAAAGGTCACAGGTGAAAAAGCTCGCATGCGAAGGGTCGAAAACGAACGACTGTATGAGATAAAAATCATCGGGAGAAAAAGAGTCAGAGGTAAATGTGGTCATTTTTTAGTAAAAATTCGTATTACAGCGTACGAAAATCGTTAAAGTTGGAGAGGTCAGAAGAAGCATAGCCAGTCGTAATACCTTTATCACGTGCAGTCTGTGTTACTTGCAAGCTTTTGCTGTTACATTTTCGCGCACGCATTTTCAACATACGATGTTTACTCCTTCAGTTGATTACCAGTGGGTTCTTAACCCGCTTTATCTTGATTCCGTGCGATCTCTTGTCAGAAATCTTTTCCATACGATCTTTTAACCGCTTATATCACTGAACGAGCGAGTCTCACGGCCCTCTGCTATCCGGGGAAACAAACGTTCTAGACGCAGGCTGAGAGCGCCATCGGCTAGATCGCGTGAAGCTGCATCATATAGCATCAGCTAGCATCAGCAGATATGACATCAGCTGGCATCAGCAGATATGGGACCGGGTAGCATCAGCAGATATGGCATCAACAAGCATCAACAGATATAGCATCAGCTAGCGTCAGCAGATATGGCATCAGCTAGCATCAGCAGATATGGCATTAACTAGCGTCAACAGACATGGCATCAGCTGGCATCAGCAGATAGGACATCAGCTAGCGTCAACAGATATTGCATCAGCTATCGCCAGCAGATATAGCATCAGCTAGCAACAGCAGATATGGCATCAACAAGTATCAGCAGATATGATATCAGTCAGCATCAGCAAACATGGCATCAGCTAGCGTCAGCGGATATGGCATCAGCTAGCATCAGCAGATATGACATCAGCTAGTATCAGCAGATATGACATAAGCTAGCATCAGCAGATATGGCATCAGCTAACATAAGCAGACATGACATTCATGGGCAGGACCAAGGCTCGTGTTAAAGTTTGTGTGGTGAGATCCTTGTAATATCAACAAAACGAACATTATACCAGTGCTGAAATAGGCATATCGTGTAGCTACTGTCGCCGTGAGTAACTCACCGGTGTTGGGACATTAGTGGGTGTGACCTGTCACGTGCCAGGTCGGGTTATTTGGGTCAAGTCCCGCCTCAATATGCCCCATCCCACCAAATCAAGAATGAAGAAAGCACAATGCTGAAACAAGTAACGCTGGACGAGGCTTGTCAAATATCGCGACTTTAAATGTAGGCTAATATTGCCTTAGACCTGTCACAGTAGGTGGTCTGTTCCTGCTATGTGCATAACAAGCTTCGCAACGTAACTCCAAAAAACAGCTTTTAAAAATGGGGCTAGGGCTAGGCCAGAATGGTAGTGCACCAAGCTTTCGTCGGCTGAGTCCAGGCTTGTTCAGGGTTAGAGGTAAGCAAGTTAGGGGTTAGTTGAAATGCAGCTTAAAATCAGTTGCATTTGCATATGTTTCCTTTACATCTGTGCCAGAGGATAAATTGCAATGATAACTGTTGGCGAAGAGATGCTAGATGCTGAGATCTCTGTTGGGGGCTCTCGATGGAATGGGCAACAGGCAGTTTTTGCATAATTTTACAAGTGGAAAAAGCATTGTAAGGGATGTCTTCAGTCTAGCAGTGTGCTTAAGCCTACTGCCAGACAAGACCACTACTTAGTAATGAACAAAAGCTATTTGTACGTAGTGGTCTGTACCTCCGGGCACAGGTTATGGTTATCAAATGGCTCATGGTTGTCAAATGTGGGTTATGGTTGTTGGATATCCTTGATGTGATGTCAATGTCACAAAGTGTGGTAGAAATCAGAGTTAAGCAGCCCATTTCAGCTCAGAAGTTTAATTTTTGAAAATTGAGCATCCGAAATAAGCCTTACCCGAAATGTACTTATTTAAACAAAAATGTGTACCGTTGAATCAAATAACTTAGTGGATTGCAAAGGCAAACCTGAAATAACTTCTGGGTTTAAAAGAAACTCAAGGAATTGCAAAGTAAGTCGAGATCCCAGAGCACCATTCAAACGCCAAAAAGCGCCACAAAATTCCATTCAAACGAAGTTGCAAGACGAAACCTTGAGCCCGGGGCATCCGAGATTAAGGACGCAGGGATCCGATCTGGAGATACTTTTCGAGGTCCTGGGTCTATGCCTGCGTACACAAGAAATGCCGTATACGCTGTTAACTGCGACACAAGGCAACGTCGAACTAATGACGATATGGTTATGTTGAATCACCTTCGATCCTCGTAATGCCGGGGTTTCTCCCGTCAAACGTTGGTAACTGACGGGGAGAGACATGTTTATAAACTTCTAAAACAATAGTTCATCAATCAACTGAATTCAAGGCAACGGTCACATTAGGCCATCTATTAATTTTGTACCAGTTTGTATGCAGCCCGCCAACAAATCATTTTTGTTGTTTCCAATGTTAGAGACTTAACGGCATGCCGTCACAATGTTGAGTTCAACCCCTAAATACGATCATTGTCGTTTGATCCAGGCCAACCATTTGTCTAGCACGCTGGATCTCAAGGTCAACCTGGTCCGTTTCTTTATGATGACTTATGACAAAACGTCATTCATAGATGAGGAGGCAACACTGCTTAGTCTAGACAAGAATGAACACGAACATGTGCCAGAAGGACGTACTTCATGCACATTCCGAAGTTAAAGTCAGGCTAGGACCATGATCTATGAGGACCATTCGGGGCACATATGTCACGCGCGGTCGGGAAGCAGGGTGCCAAAAGTAAGACATGAGTAAGTTGATGCCTGACGCAGCTAGAAAGCACAATGCCATAAACTAAAATCTAGTCAAACCAGGTCAGCCACTTATGCTAACATCATAAGTGCTGTGCTAACGCCGCTTGGAGATGAGGTGGTGAGAGGGCGACCACCCCAGTCTTCACCACCAGCGAATATGATATTCAGTCATGCTCCTGTCTGACATGGTCTGTAGCTAAAACAAAGCTGCAAGAGACAAGCTGGAGACAACCCAAAAGTATCAGTTACTCAAGAAGACAAGACAGGTCCGTTGGGTTCAACAGTGGGGACATGTCTAAAAGAATTACTTGATTACGGTCCTCCAAATAACACTTGGCGCACACATCGGTCTTTTGTGTTCCAATACCTCATTTTCATTCAAAAGAAATGTTGCGGTTTTCTATCATCACTTTCTAGGCGTGCCGTACCTAGTACACCATGTGACAACAAGCTGCCTGCCGTAAAGAATAGATATCGAAAGAATGATATCAAGCAAATCGGTGCTGACTGTGAAACCCGTTATTCAACTACTCATCTTTTGATTTTTATCAATATGCTTTCTGAAGAAAAGTGAATGCTTATATGATTCGTCGGTGTAATATTATAGTTGTCTGCCTCGTGTACCAGTTCAATTGCCATATCCTCGACCCCCATTTACCCAGGAAAAGCTATAAAATTTTGTCATGAAACTCGATGCTCCGGTGCATTCCTACGTGCCTTTTTATTCGGTGCCTTTTCAGACTCCTTTTTATTAATTTGCCCGTTCAGACAATGTTTAATCAATTTTCATGACATGGACAACTTTCATAAATTTGATTTTGTGGATGCCTTGAAAGCGCACATCCCAGTCATTCAGCACCGCTTATTTCACCCTAAATGCTCCCGTCTTGCTTCTGTGACATATTCATCGTGTTTTCACCGGTGAGTGATCGCCGATAGTTATGTTGACGGCTTTTCACGTTCTTCTTTTAAATCGGCTTTGGAGTGCATGATTGCTGTTTTGCCACGGTTTGTTTTCAGCTCCTACCTCACCCGCCAGAAGGCTTTCAATGCCGAGTTGTTTGGCAGGTATGCCATTTGAGCCTTGGGCACGTTCAGCGCTTTGCTAAAATTGTTTTCCTCCAAAGGGAGCTGTTTTACAACACAAGATTGAGGTAGCCTTCGTCATCAAGCAGAGTGTCATTAAATCGTCAAATACTGGATCCGTGCTCGTCATCATGTCATTCTACTTCAGCATGAACCAGAAAGTTACTGCACGAAACACCAGATTCACTATGTGAAGTGAATAAATTGTTGGGTCACATTGTTTCACCAATACGTATATAGTCTTTTATAGACTGTTGAAGTGGGATCATGCCTTGGCAAGTAAATTGTTTTAAGGATGGCTGTCCTTCTCTCCACATCTTTGCACGGCAAATTTCAGCGATGATGTCTTTCAATTTGCTGCTCGATCAGTACAAATATGTCTGTTATTAAGATTGTGTGTGCCAAGTGAGCCTAACTGGAT